TGCAACTAGAGGCCTGGTGGGGTCCCTCGCCCTGGCCTGCGGGGATCAGGCCAAATCCATGCACCGGGCCTCCGACATCCCCCGAGGGGTCCCGGATTGAGAGAGGGCGCAGGCCAGGCCGAGGGACCCCACTGGTGCACTAATCCATGCACCGGGCCTCTAGTTCAGTGATAAAAAGCAAGGACCTACAACCTATATCACTCTACCCAGCAAGGCTGTCATTTAGAATCAGAGACATAAAGAGCTTCCCAGACAAGAAAAAGGTAAGGAGTTCATCCCCACCAAACCAGTATTATAAGAAATGTTAAAGGGGCTCCTTTGAAAAGAAAAAAATAAATATGAATAATAATATAGCAGTAATTATATACCTTTCAATAATCACTTTACATGTAAATGAATTAAATGTTCCAATCAAAAGTCATAGAATGGCTGAATGGCTAAGAAAATGCAGCCTATAAGAGACCCACTTCAAATCAAAAGACACACACAGACTGAAAATAAAAGGATAAAAAAGATATTTTATGAAAATGGAAATGAAAAAAAGTTGGAGTAAGCAATACTTCAGACAAAATAGACTTTAAGACAAAGGCTAGCCATAGCCGGTTTGGCTCACTGGATAGAGCATCAGCCTGCAAACTGAAGGGTCCAGGTTTCATTCCAGTCAAGGGCACGTGCCCAGGTTCCAGACTTGATCCCCAGTAGGGGTTGTGCAGGAGGCAACTGATCGATTATTCTTTCTCATCATTGATGTTTCTATCTCTTCCTTCCTTTCTGAAATCAATAAAAAATATATTTAAAACAAAACAAAAAAAACCACAAAGGCTGTAACAAGAGACAAAGGACATTTCATGTAGCCAATATATGGAAGCAACCTAAGTTGTGGTACATACATACAGTAGAATATTACTAGCCTATAAAAAGAATGAAATCTTACCATTTGCAACAATGTGGATGAACCTAGAGTGTATGTGTTATGCTAAGTGAAATAAGTCAGAGAAAGACTTGTTTCATATGATTTCACTTATATGCGGAGTTTGAAGAACAGAATAAATGAACAAAAACAGAAACTCACAGATACAGAGAACAAACTGGTAGTTAACAAATGGGAGTTATGGGACTAGTTGAAAAAGGTGAAGGGATTAAGAAGTACAAACTGGAGTTACAAAATAGTCATGGGATGTAAAGCATACCATAAGGAATATAGTCAATAATACTGTAATAATTACATATGGGGTCAGGTGGGTACTAGACTTTTGGGGGAATCACTTAAGTTATATAAGCGTTTAACCACTATGTTGTACACCTGAAACTAATACATTGAATGTCAACTGTGATTGAAAAAAACAAACAAATAAACCTTGTCAGAATAAGACCAAACAAATACAAGGCCTGGAAGATCTTGAAATAAAAATCCCCAAGAGTACACAGAATTACTAAATCCACTTTTGCATTCTTTTATTAACTGTACTAGAGGCCTGGTGCACAAAAATTTGTGCACTCGGGGGCGGGGGGGGGGTCCCCCCGCCCGGCCTGGGCCCTCTC